GAGAGAAGGTTGTGCATTTTAAGTTTCTAAAAGAACCTATAAAAGATCCAACAACTTTGAGAAGAAGGTTGAAATAGGAGCAAGTAGAGGCAGCCATTGTTAGCAATTAGCTACTAAGGAGACTAAGATTCCATAACATTCTCATGCAAAAGGAAGAATGGTGTGGAGGAGAAAAGAGAATTAGGAGGCTGTTGTTTAGAACAAATCTCATACGATTGTACCACCTTTTCAACTCTCCTTATTGATTGCTAATGAAAAAGAATTAAAGGCAACCTTTGAGGCAGATTAACAAGAAAAGTTAACTACTGATGGTGATCTACTTAACGACATAGATGTTGTTCAAATTGGAGACTTTTCTGTGAATCTCTCTTATTTGGTTGTTACACTTCCTTTGGTTTATACTAACATAACCATTAATGATTTCACAAGTACTGTTAACAAATCAAAGGGAGTGTTGCCAGTTGCACTCACTATCGACAACAAGACATTAATTAGTGCTTTCATTGTTGTAGATTCCTCTATAATTTATAATGCATTGTAGGGATGTGATTAGATCTATTCAAATTGGTGTATTCCATATACTCTCCATCAGAGACTCATTTTTTATAATAAAGGCAGAATTGAGATGGCTTATACTGATAGCAGACCATTCCTAACTAATTCCAATATGGTGGAAGCATGGTATTATGATGAAGATGTAGAAACGATTTGTTTCTTTAGCATGGATAGATAAGGAAAACCTCACGGAATCATTGCTTGTAACAATCTTACCTTAGCCAAGCATGTGGTTGATAAGGTATATGTTTGCAACATAAATTACATTTTAGTGATGCCACATGTTAATGGATAAGGTGAGATTAGATTTACCATGGGGACTCAAATTTGTAAAAATTAGTTTTAGGAACGGTGAAAATTATCTAGTTTGTTGCAATTTGAATTTTGAAAAGAAACAAGAATTCCTAGAATTTAGGAGAAGTTCAATTGAGGAATTATCCGTGATTTGAACAACCAATAGTAAAGCGAGGAGACAGTTCATTGGAAGCGTATAAAAAAAAGAGCTTTCAGATTTTGGAGGACACAACCAGCCATACTCACAACCTAGAACAAGTTTAATTATTTTCATGTATTTACTTTAGCTTTCAAATTTCATCTTTAGCATAATACTTAGTAGATTTTAGATTGTCTAGTTTTCATTTCTACAATTGCATCTGATGTAATGAACATCAAGTATTTTAATTTCAATAAGGTGCTATTTTTTTTTATCATTGTTTATTTTACATTACTGGCATTCAAGCTTCTATCTTGTCTTATTTTCCATATCAGTTTAATCTTTATTTATACATGCTTTTTGATTAATTAGTTTTATATTTTATATTTCTAGATCTGAGGTAGGTAAATTTGCAAATCTGTTTGTAAACATAAATTAATCTAGTTTTGAATCAAGATGCATTCATCTTTTACGAGTCTACTTTAATTTGCATTTTGCATTTCATTTAGAACATTTAGGATCTATTAACTTAAATTTATAAAATTGTTAAAGTCCTTGAGTTTGTCCAAGGTAGATTAACAACCCATTCTACTGGAAGGCATCCCTTCCTCTTGCAAATTGTTCAAAAAGTGCAGAACTCAATTATAAACCAATGTTCTTTCAGCCATCCTAACGGATGTTGACCACATTGAAGGAGAGGGTTGTTGCGAAAATTCTTTTTTCTTGCTTTTTAGAAAAGTAAGTGGCACACTCACATTAAGATTTTGCATGTGTGAAGCCACTTGAGGATTTTTGAGGAAACAATCCTTTTGTGGCATGCCCAGTGGGACCCCATCATGTCTCACCCACAGTGTTTAGATCCACTTTTTTTGTATCCAAAAAGAGGCACAGCTATGCCACCCAAAAACAAGAACAGGGATAAGGAAGTTTAGCCACTACAGGCTGAACATGCAAATGACAACCTACTCCATTATGAGGGTGAAAATGATTCCATTACTTTTCCTCTAGTGTCACCTTTTGTAGAACGATCTTATGGAAATCCAATATTCACGAAGAAAGAGGCAGATCATGGGGGTGACTTTGCTGAGTCAAGTAATGTGCTCAAATGCTTGATTGAATGTTTGGAGTTAGCATGTAGGGAGTAGGCCCAGACTATGTAGAGACTCATCAAGAGCCACATGGAATCTTCTAGACATCATTTAGAGGCAATGAGGCAATATATGGTTGAAGTGAGGCATTTATTTGAAGAGGGTACTAGAGGAATGCATAAAACTAGGGATGAGAGTCATATAACTTTGCAGGCTATTTCAGATCAAGTGGTTGAACAAGTGTGCTAGCCTAGATCAGAAGTACCACTACTAGCTCAGGCGGTGGATCTTCTCAGGCAAGTCTAGATTCATTGGCTTCAACGTTCAGGGGGCAAGTTAATTAACCACATCTACCTCCACAAAACCAATCCGCAGTTGGTGCACTAATGTAGCCAAAACCAGTAGAGGTTGCACCACATATAGCAAATCTGGGAAATCAATAATAGCCCAAGTATATGCCACCTTAGCACAAGCTAAATGGGGGACATTAGTAGCTTAATACAGCTCCCCAAAGGGAGTACTTCCATTCCCATATGCCGTCACTATAGCAGAATTTGCAAGGCCAGTACATCAACTGTGATTAGATCATCGATCTACTGTAGAAGGCTTACGGTCTAGTTTTAAGGCCTTTAGTCAGACCAGCTTACAGAAAACCATATCCAAATTATATAGATCAAGAAAATCCTTTTTGAAAGGGGTTTAAAGTGCTAAAATTCACATTATTTTCTGGATATGGTAATAATTCTTTGATTGAACACAGGTCGCTTCACTATTTAGTGTGGCGAGGCTTCTAACGATGACAATCTAAAACTCAAACTTTTCCCAAGTTTTTTGATTGGTACAACTCTCACTTGGTATTTGAGCTTACCACATAATTCAGTTCATTTGTAGAGGCAGATGGAAGATCTATTCCATGTCCAGTTCTCTCTCAGAGCCAGAAGTATCTATGGCATATCTATCTTATCTAGTGCAATGACTTGGGGAATCATCTGAGGCTTTCCTTGCAAGATTTTATAGGGCCAGACTTAAGTGCAACATTGCTTTGCTAGAGCAAGAATTTGTTAAGTTGGCACAAAATAGTCTAGATATTGAACTGACGAAGAAATTCGAGGGGATGGAATTTTGGGATTTCTTTGAGCTTTCTTACAAAGTTGCCCGCTATGAAAATTTGTTACAGGAGGATTTACAGAGGAAATCTGCGTCCCATGGGACTTATTATGGCAACGCCAACTTTGATCTAGATGTGGCAGAAATAGTGGTAAACAAACTTGTTGTTTGCCCAAATCTAGTCAAAGTCACCGAATAGGTCGAGAAGACAATGGAACGTTTTGTTAGTGAGGCTGAAAAGCAATACACATTTGATTTGTCTAAGACTAGTGAAATTTTTTACCACCTTAGAAAGTGTGGTCTAATTAAGTTGTCGTTGGAGCATAAAATCCTAATGGCTGGCGAAATAGGAAACAGAGAATACTGTAAGTATCATAATTCTTGGAAATATTCTACTAATAATTATGTTATTATTCAGAATGTTTTGCTAGAAAAGATTGACAGAGGGATTCTATGGTCTCCAGAAAAGGCTAAGGAAACAATGGGAGTTGATGCAGACCCATTCCTAGACTTGTCAGTTAGAGTAAACGTAGCAGATCTTTGGAGCATTATCAAGGACAAAAATTGATCGTACTCCAGGCGTAGACTTACAGCTGATGACTTGAGATGGATCATTAAAGAGGCTAGAACTCATAAAGATCAGGCTAGATTAGATCCTCCATGAAGAAGAAGGCATAGGGGACATTATTCAAAGCAATAGAAAATCGATCCATGTTAGAGTGCTATGAAATTTGCTGTGTAGAATGGCATAGGATGGTGAAACTGCCGCTTAGATCTCCTAACCAAAAATGGGAATGGGTGGCTCATCCAAAGTTCCCTAAGGCTCAGGATCCCAGAACTTTGAGGTGATGCTTACAACACAAGAGAGAAGAAGAAAGATGTTGACAGTTGATGGAGAACCCCGGGGCATGGCAAATTTGACTTAGCCATTCTTAGCAAGAATGAAATCAATTTGGGTCCCCAAAGACAAAAGCGGGGCATCAAGTCAGACATCACCAGAAGATGAAAAACAACCTAGAAGTCCAACTTTTCCCTAAGTTCTAACTGTGGAGGCAAGTAAGGAAACCGGCCTAAAAGCTACATTCAAGATGGCAGAAAAAGCATAACATTCAGCAAAGAAGGAAATCATCCAATTTGGTGAGTTTTCTATGAATTTGTCTTGTTTGATGCTTACCTTTCCTCTAGTCTTCCAAGCCAAAGAAGAACCAGAATCTACAGATTATTAGCAGGCAGATCAGGCTAAGAAAGGGATTATTGAGATCTTAACGAAAGAGGATGAAAATGGATTTCAACAGACAAAATTATTTTTGAGAAACCAGAAGAGAGGATGGCCAGATATATAAGGCCATTATACATTCATGCTCACAAGGATGGTATGCTAATTAATCAAGTTCTGATAAACAATGACACTGTTGTTAATGTGTTGCCAACTTGCATGCTACACAGAATTGGAAAATCTTTGAAATATCTAATGGAGACATAAGTGATAATTAGTGGCTTCACAGGTGGAGTAAATCCTCTAGGGGAATTCTGCTTATAAAGCTCACTATGGGGAACAAAATTCTCATGTGTGCATTTTTGTGCTTAACACTATAGCCACTTATAATGCATCATTAAGGAGAGATTGGATCCATTCCAATTAATGTGTCCCTTCAACTTTACATCATAAATTGATATTCTAGAATGGTGGCAGAATTGAGGTTGTGAAAGTTGATGACAAACCTTTTGTGGCTAACACTAATACGGTGAAGGCCCATTACTATGATGAAGAAATCAGAACCATTCACTTCCCAATACCAGATCAGCACTCACTAGATGTACAGTGAAGGAGGTTTGCGATGAACTCCTTCAACCTACAACAATTGTTCCTTTTAGGCCGAGGGAAAAGCCAAAAATTGAAGAAATTACATGAAGAGATAGTGAATCAATCACTAGAAGAAAGAGGCCATGGAAGAAATCAAAAGGAAATTAGCAGCTTATCTTGTAGAAAAGCATATCAGTGTAGATAAATCTAAGGTGGTCCACGAAAGTGAAGAGGAAGATCTGATGGATGAGGTTACTTTGGAGGAGTTGGATCTAACTCCAGCTAAACTTGACGATCTGAATGTGAAAATACAAGATCTGCTAAAGGAGGTAAATCTGGGTATTGAAGAAGAGCCAAAGATCATATTCATCAAAGGCTCCCTTAAGCCGTGTATGTGTGAGAAGATCATCAACATCTTGCATGAGTACAAAGATTGTTTTGCTTGGGTTTATTTAGAAATGCCAGGTCTGGACCAAAAGTTGGTGGAGCATAGGTTACCCATCAAAGAAGGTTTCAAACCTTTTAAGCAACCGCCTAGATGAATGTCTTCAGAATTTACTCTAAAAAATCAAAGAAGAAATTGAGTGGCTACTAAAAGTTGGTTTCATCAGAACTACCAGATATGTGGAGTGGTTATTTAATGTGGTTCTAGTGGTAAAAAGGAATGGCAAGTTACGGATTTGTTAGATTTCCCAAAGGATTGCAAATTTGTTGATAGATGGTGCATCTTGCCACAGAATTTTGTCATTCATGGATGGCCACAGTGAGTACAACTAAATCTTGATTGCTAAAAGAACATTCCAAAGACTGCCTTTCAATGCCCAAGAGGTATTGGAACTTACAAATGGGTGGTGATGCCATTTAGTTTAAAAAATATAGGAACCACCTACCAAAGAGCCATTAACGCCATCTTTCATGACATGATTGACCATTTCATGGAAATTTACATTGATGATTTGGTTGTGAAATCTGATGAAGACGAGGAACATTTGAAACATTTAAAGATGGTTTTTGAGAGAATGAGGATGCAAGATATGAAGATGAATCCATTAAAATGTGCATTTGGTGTTTCTCTTAGAAATTTTCTAGGATATCTGGTGCATGAGCGAGGTTTAGAGGTTGACCAAAATAAGGCAAGAGCAATCATTGAAACACAGTCACCAAAAAGTAAGTAAAAGCTGTAGAAATTCCTTGGTTAGGTGAATTTCCTCAGACGTTTCATCTTAAATCTGGCAAGAAGGACTAGAGCTTTTTCACCTCTTTTGAAGCTCAAAGCTAAAGCAAATTTCATGTGGGAGCAGCACCACCAGACTGCCTTTGATGAAATTAAGTGATATCTGTCAAAGCCATCAGTCTTAGTGCCTCTGTCCAAGGCAAACCATTGCTTTTGTATATATCTGCCAAAGATGAATTTGTAGGTTGTTTGTTGGCTCAAGAAAAAAAATAAAAAACAAGAGCAAACTGTGCATTATCTGAGTTGAAGCTTGTCAAAGACCGAAGTGAAATATTCTTTGGTCAAAAAACTGTCTTGAATTGTTTCTTGATGCAATAAAATTGAGACATTATTTGCTTTATTCGGAGGTGTATGTTATTTCAAAAACTGATGTGATAAAGTACATGTTGTCCAAATCGATAATTAGAGGTAGAATTGGAAAGTGGGTTCTGGCTCTTTTAGAATTCAATGTGAAATATGTGCCTTAAAAAGCTGCCAAGGGGTAAGCCTTGGCAGATTTTCTTACACATCATCCGTGCCTAGAAGTAAAAGTAGATGAGGAGAAGGGAGTCAATCTATTTTCTATAGATTTGATTCCTTGGAAACTTATTTTTGATGAGTTTAGCATAGATTTCATGTCAAGTGTTTGGATCGTTATTATTTCTTCCATAGGTTTGAAGACCAAGATGTTATTTTAGCTAGATTTCAGTTGCACCAACAATCAAGTTGAGTATGAAGCATTGATCATTGGTTTGGAGATGTTGGTAGAGCTTAAGGCACTTGTGATAGAAATCATTAGAGATTCATAACAAGTCCTAAAACAACTAGAAGGTGAGTACAAATGTACCAGTTTGTCTTGGCACCTTATTTTGCTTTAATAGTTCAACTTCTAGAAGAATTTGATGATGTGATCTTGAGGCATGTAATTCGAGATCTGAACATAGAAGCAAATGAGATGGCCCAGATTGCCTTGGGTTTGAAAATACTTGAAGGTGTGATGAGGAAGATTATAACTATTGAAAAGCAAGTTCTACTGTCCATTCACAAGCATGGTATGGCAATTTTTGCTTGTTCAATAAACATAACCCATACAGATTGGCATCATCCCATTATGGAATTTGTTAAGCATCCAAGCTCTAAGGCCTCCAAAAAAACAAGAATATAGGCCTTGAACTATGTTTTACTAGAAGATGTGCTTTACTATAGGGGGCAAGATGAACTTCTTCTATGTTGTGTCGATCCAGATGAATACTTCCTGATTATGTCAGATGTGCATAATGGGATCTGTAACACTCATCAAACTAGGATTAAGATGTGCTAGCTAATCCATAGACATGGTTTTTTTCTAGCCATCAATTCTAAAAGATTGCATCAGTTACGCGCTACAAGGCTTACTAGATCCATGGGCCTTTGCAAAGGGTTCCAACGTCAAAATTGCACCCAATTGTCAAACTATGACCATTTTGTGGTGGGCCATCAATCTGTTTGGTAAAGTTTACCCATATTTTAAAGGGCATTCCTTTATCATCGTAGCCATAGATTATTTCACCAAATAGGTGGAAGCAAAGCCAATGAAAAAGGTAGATCAGATTGATGACATAAAATTCATCAAAGAAGAAATTATTCATAGATTCAGTTTGCTAAAAACTATAATCTCATATCAAGGGACTATCTTTGTTGAGGCACAAATAGAAGCGTTTTCAAAGGAGATGGGATTCCACTTACTTACCTCCACTCCTCATTATGGTCACGCTAATGGCCAAGCTAATGCCTTTAATAAGGTAGTGATTAATCTGCTTGAAAAGTTGGTCGATGATAATCCAAGAAGATGGCATGAGTTGTTATCTGACACGCTCTAGGCTTATAGAACTTTGTAGCGGAGTTCTACTAAGGTGACTCCATTTTCTTTAACTTTTATACATGATGCTTTTCTGCCCATGGAGTTATTTGCTAGATCATTACGTATAACAATTCAACATGGTCTTACTTCTAAAAAATATAACGAAGTAATGATGTTAGAACTAAAAGATCTAGAAGGATTGCATTTGACGGCTTTGGATAGGCTACAAACATAGAAATAGAAAGCCACTCGAGCATACAATAAGTGGGTGAAATTTAGAAGTCTGGCAGAAGGTGATCTAGTTTGGAAAGCAATTTTGCCACCTAGAAAGAAAGATCCTAGGTTTGGAAAATGGTCTCCCAATTGGGAAAGGCCATTTTGCATCCATGAAGTGCTTGGAGGGGGAGCATATTGGCTTGAATCATTAAATGGAGAGCTACACCCTTGGAAAATAAATGGTATCTAGCTTAAGCCTTACTATCCTATAATATGGGACAATAGAGATCTGGATACTTCAAATTCTACTTGAGTCAGATATAGGGTAGAAATTGTATAATACTTCCTCTTTTTTATTTAGCATTTTTTGAGTTTTAATAAAAGTGCTGATTTGAATTTGTAAGTTGGCCAGATTTGGCTGTGAGTAATCATAGCGGCTAGATTATGGCTGTGACAAATTTTAATCTATTGCAGATCAAGTATGTAATAAATAAGTCTCTACAAGCATGAGGGCATTCTAAAAGCAAAATCAATATCAAAGTAGTAGTTTGCATGGCCCCTTAGGTCGCAAATGTCAAGTATAGAAATGAAACACATGCAAAAATAGTCCAAAAAAAGCTAAATATAAAGGGTAAAGTCTAGCAAAGGCGGTTCTTCCAACCACTCCATTCCTCCCTCATATGCTTAAACTAGCTAATAGCTACATTTGTTCAGGTTGTGAGAGAAGTAAGCTATGTTTTGATGCTCGAGAGTGCTTGTAAATCTGCCTTCAAATCTGTGTCGAGTTTGTTACGTTGCATTGCTAGGTTTTGCTTTGCTCGTTCTTCTTTTGAGAGTTGTTTCTTTAATTTTGCAAGCTTAGCCTCCATGCTAGAAATCTCACCTCTCAGGTCCTAGAGATTCTTGAATTGGGCTTCATGAGTGTTCCTCATCGCTAAGAGTTCATTCTTTTTCTAAAAGGCTACAACAGTCTTATTGACCATAGACTTATTAGTTGATTTAGCTTGCTGGACTATTTTCTCATGATCAAGAAATCACTAGTCAACATTTGCATAAATTATAGGAAATCTACCCAGAAATTATGTTAAATAATGGACAAGTGTGGAGAGTGGCTCAAGACGTGTGCCACCTGAAATGTAGTTGATTGATTTGGTGTCATGCAGAAGTGTGGGGGATCACCGATTATGAGCTCTTACAAGGTTTGTATAGCTTGACTAATCTACTCATGGGTAAGGATGTCCATATTTGGCTCTGCCTCCTCAATGTCAGATTTCCCTTTGGTATTTGAGGTGGTTTCTAGCTTAATGGGAAAATTTGCCAACATGTCTAATTGTGCAAAAAGCCTATCCTCCAAGTTGCCATTAATCATTATGTTATCAGTGATCAAAGCCTGCAGATTTGTTCATAAATGACAAATTTGTTCAACAGGATTTAAAAAAAAAAAAATCACCCAAATTCCAAAAAGTAAGCTTACCTCAATCTCATTACTTTCAATCTGCTTAATCGGGGAAGCCACAAGTTTGGGTTCATTTACTTTCTCCTGCGTTAGATCAACGAGTTCATTTGGTCTAACTATTTAAAAATTTTTGTTACCAAGACGCAAAGAAAATCTAGTGCTCCTAACCTTTGTGGCTGATGGAGCCTTATTAATGGATCCAAAATCGACAAAGCTTGTCTCATTATTGTCATATATTCCTTCAAGTGGATCTGTAGATGTGACATCCTAAGCAAAATCATTATCTGGCACTATAGGAGAGTTCTAGGTTTCTGAGGTAGAATTTTCCTATAGACTGAAAAGGTCTCCTAACTGTAGGAGGCTTGTTTGCGGGCTTTATGACTCCTACCAAAAAAAAAATCATTCAGTTAAGGCAAATGAACGTCAAATAAAGGGAAAGAGTTAGGATGATTCTACCTTTGGTTTTCTACTTTTTAGTGGGAAAGTCTTTTTCTAGGGGGGCTAAAATAATGAAAGCCTTTCTCTTAATAATGATCCTCGAGGTTTTCTGTGGTTGCTTTCATTTTTTGGATTGAGTGGTGATTACAAGTTCTAGATTTTCTCTTTCCTTGGTAACTTCCTTTTCCTTAGATTTTTTGTAGGTGGGGGGCCAAAAAGGGAAAGATCATCCATAATTCCATGAAAGTGGGGAAAGAAATAAGCCTGCCACCAAGATTTATATGAAGCAATGCAGAAAGATAAGAAAAGGGGATTGGGCATGATCAGATTTTGGTAGGCTTGTGGAACGGCTTTCAGTTCGCTAGCTACCATATTAGAATCATTCATCACTGTGTGAATAGGAAAGCTGCAATTCAAAGTGAATAAAGGCGGGAATGGAATGTCTTGGTAGTACCCAAGTTGCTGACAGAACTAGTTCAGTGCGTAGAGCTCAACACCACATTTAGAAGTAACAGCCTTGAGGTTACAACCAACAAACAAGTCTCGACGGGTTATACACACAGACCAAAAAGCTTTAAATTCTATAGTTTGAAAAGTGGTTTTGCACCAAGAGGGGCCATGAGATCTACTCAAAAAGACGGTGAAGTCTATATCAGGCCTATTAATAGAAAAAGATGCAAAAAACTTAAAGCATTAATCAAAGTTTCTCTTGTTCTTAGTAGCATCCTTGAACATTAAGCAGTAGTTAAGAAGGTTTTGACCTGGTATAATAGAAATAGCAAGTGCAATAAATGGAAAATATGAATAAAGCCATAGTTGGAGTATCCAAAGTGGTCCTCCACAACTACTAAAGGGATAGACTGTGATGTCATAGCAGCTTTTGTATAAATAAGCAAGCAAAAATGGTGCAAGTGGAAAATGTTTTCCATGTGCTAAGGAAATAGCCAATGGAATAAATTCTTTTGTAGGCAGCAGAGCGAACCATATACTTGCAAATTAATGTAAGTAGGAAAGAAATATGCTCTTGGATATTTGTAAGCTTGCTTGAGTCATGAGGAGATTCTGTAGATATTTGGAAGGTTTCAAGATTTTCTGATCATAATGGGCTTCTGGTGATATGGTCAAGCGTGTAGAAACTTCTTCCCCGGTTAAGGGAGACCTATTAAGGAGCTAATATAAAAAAAATTTACAGACATGTCACCACAAGGAAAATGGAAACAATTGTAGGAGCTTAACCAAAATAATAGAACAACACTTAAAATCAACTTATTCATGTCGAATTTGCATTTGGTGAGTTGAATAAATTCATACAGACCCACGTTTCTTCAAACTCTACCAAAGTGAGGTTCCAGGTGATTAACCTGATCAATCCACTCTGTCTTTCTCTAAGTCAACGATGAACCA